TACGAGTGGACGACAAATAACTGCCCGGATAGTACATTTTGAAATAACGTAAGCTACATGTGAAGTAAAAGTTGCACAATGTCTGATCTGAAGCTTTTTCACATGTGCATATTCGCTTTCTATTCGTGTTCTCTATTATATATACCAACATAATAATCCATAAAGATAAATTCTCTTTTTTTTTTTCTTCCTTAAATCATCTACAGCCTTTAATGCTGGAACGGGCTCATGTATATTCCGTGGACAAACAGCAGGTCAGTATAATACAAGTGCGTGGGGGGAACAACGCCATCCCAGGAGAGAGCACTGGCAACACGGCAACTTCGAACTTGCAGAGAAGCCCAAGTGTGGGTAGTAGGCCATCGTCCATGTCACTATATGGCACTGAACGTCCAGAGAAACTCGAGAGGCCGGATGTGCCTCACGAGCAAGCGAAGGCGCACGCGCGAACCAGATCGGAAGGTAACATTATAGACGTCCAAACACAGACCAACACAGTAGTGACGGTTCTCAAGTCACCGCAACAGAAGCCGGCCTCGCCGAGGGTTCACCAGCGACCGCCGAGGCCGCAACCGCCGCCACCACCGCCGCCTACCGTACGGCCTAAATCAGAGCAAGAGAGCACCAATCTCTAGCAGAGCACGATACGAAACCAGAGGCAATCTCGAGGCGATCTTGAGAAAACTCTCAAAGATTCGCTGGTGTTTTATCACAGTCGAGAACGAAGTTCTACACATGACAATATGTCATCAATGAAATCTGTTAAGTGGCCAAGTATTCGAAAAAATTAATATCCTCGAACGAAAAGACATCGTGATTGTATTTATATAGAGAAACAACCATCGACGTTTGTTCGTCGGTGATTGATAAAAACGAGGCGAGTATATATATATATATATATATTCATAGGTTTGATATAATATTCGGACACAAAGTCACTCTATTTTTTCCGTGATCTCCCTATTTATACTTCTTACTATATTTAAACGGATAATCCTTAGAAAAAACATTCTGACGATTGCCATTGTACGTAAACAACAGAAGGATCCCAAATATGCATTTGGATGTTTTGCATTTGGCAGCTGTTAGCACGCCGCGCGCATATGTGTATATGTGTCGCATCTCCAAACCACATTTTACATATCTAATTTCATAATCGATCATGATATTTTTGCAGCTTACTATCGACTTTTATACTTATTGCGAATAAGAAACGAATTCTACGAGTAAGAACACTTCGCGTTTCAACTGTAAGCATCCAAGCGCACAAACCTTAGTGTACTAAACGTACATGATTTACAGAATTGACTTTAACCTGCGAAATGTTAAATGACAACGTCTGCGCTTACGAACTTTCGATACGTCCATAGAAAAAAACGAAAAATTAATGTATGAGATCGACCGACATGATCAATATGTTGGAACTGATTCAATGGGTGATATTTATTAGTGAAGATTGTTTGTTAATATCGTTGAATGTATGAAATGTCAGAAGAAATGAACGTATCCGCACTTTATATTTGACCGATTTGATGTACGACTCTGAATTATTGTTAATACCTAAGATTAAAAAGAATTTTTAATATGGTTAAATATTAATTTTTACATGTTCAAATCACGGAATAGCTCTATGCAAGGAATTCGTGATCCTGAATTATCAGATAAGGATAATCGCGCCGGAAAGCTGCGTCATATATTCAAAGAAAAAAAGAAGACTTCAGCCATGTATAATTATCTCATCATATGAAATTAGAATTATGTTTCATTTCACTCTTGGTCAAAGAATTTTTATGTGTGTGTGTGTGTGTGTGTGTGTGTGTGTGTGTATTCCTACATTAAAAAGCTTAAAAATTTGAAATTATTTCAAAATATATTTATTATTTGTTTGTTAAGAGCTTTTGTTTGAAATTTCGTGCAATGAATTAATAAAATTGTTCATTTTATTTTTCAATGGAATTAATGTGGAATATCTCTAGTTAACATAAAAAGTGCAGTATTATTGAATATCCATTCAGTCGTGGATAAAAAATAGGTATATGTTAACGATGATTATATTTTATAAAATCGTAGATAAGAGAGAAATAGAGTCTATCAGCGTAAATGACCGCGTATCAGCAAAATAGATATCTAAATTATATAATAATTACAAAAGTCGTTTTTTGTCATTTCTTAGATTTAAGTTTTATTGATGCTCTACTGACGATAACAAACCTTGCATTCTCTATATGCGCTTATTTTGCAATTGATAACACTCGCGTTATTGGACAAACGAGTGAATTATAAGAATCTAGCTAATGACAAATCACGCATTTACCTAAGGTGTGCTTAGGCTGTGAATGTAATGGACTATTAGAGGAGTTTATTTGTACATAAATAAAGATTTACTCTATTAGAATGGCGAGTGAATTAAGACATTTCATGACTTCCATGTGAGATTGTCAATAGACTGAATTTATTAAGATACGCAGAGTTATGACAATTATAAACGCAGATGTGCTTGTGTACAGACAGATATAACGTTGTATAGCGTTACAAAAGAGCCGAGATCTGCTCATTCGCAATTTCTTTGGGTGTTACACCGTCGTTATCCGCTATGTTTGATTGCGCTCCGATCGAAAGCAAGTACTTGACCGCGTCCACATGATCGCAACTTACCACGTAGTGAAGGGCCGTTTGCCCGTATTGATCCCGCGAATTCACATTCGCACCGTTTTTAATCAAGTAATCCAGGATGCCGAGATAGCCCCGATCCGCGGCCCAATGTATGGGGTGCATGCCCTCCTCATCCGGCTTATTAACGAGCGTGGGCTCGCCGCTTAAAAATTCTCGCACTTTCGCCTCATTACCCTCCTTGATCCAATCTAAAAAAGTCTTGTCTTCGTCGTTCAACTCCACGCTCCCGCACGACAGCTTGCTGAAGACAATCCATTTTGGAGACTCGGCCTTCTCCTCTTCGTCCCATGATGGGTTTATTCTCGTAATCGCGTGAATATAATTCGCCATCGCTGTCTCACGGCTCATATCTCCGAGATTCTTCCATGCTTCCCATTTGTGCTTCGCTTGTACTTGATACCAATTGGGTCTTGGAATATCACATGAGCCTACGGTCGCTTGCTTATACAGACCATAAAATGCAAGCAATTGTCCTGAATCCAATTCCGACACTAACGTCTGCAAATATTTGGTAGCTCTGTTGAAGGTCTCCTCTAAATCAGTCGTCTCTATCTCTAAATCGCTCTCTGCCATTGTTGCCACAACTTACGCAATGTACCTTGAGAGTTTAATGTGCTATTTTTATTGCGGTTTTATTTCCTTAAGGAATAAATTTTTCCTTCCAAAGAATGTTTACGTTCAAGCACAGCATTCACGGACTCCTTCCTCAAAAATGATATACGCCCGTAGCTTCGATGGAGACCAGTTCTCTTATCGAATGCCACATAAGACTCTACCACGTAACCGAATTGAGAAAAGTACAGAGCAAGCTCGTGACGACTCACTGTCCAGGGAATGTTGGTGACGTTCACCGCATATTTTGCAAAACCATTGACAAACATGGTAAAACAGGATGGAATCCTTATACCGCACGTTGAATATCTAGCAAGTGTATCGTATGATCTTGCATCAACTCGTGCAAATTAATGTTGGAATTCGTGCTGAGACTATCCAGTGCTATGTGCATACACGACAGTCCCCACTTGTTCAGCAAGTGCTCTATCGACCAATCAGCACTGCGCTCCTGGTAAGTGCAGAGGAATCTCGCGCAGGGATTCTTTTCCAACAGAAAAGCCACGACAACCACTATATCTTCAAATACATTAGGCTCATAAAAACAGTCTGATCCGATGATCAAGTCCAATTGCCCGAGCGAGAACAGGCTAGACAGAAAGAAGCCCCAGGTGATGCCGACTATTTGAACCTGATCCAAGACTCCATTCAACTCGCAACATCTCCTGATATGCTGCAAAGTCCTTGGTTGACTTGCCGAGTCACTCAAAGTCACAATTGCACCGCACTTGCTGGCGAGAATCCCAGGCAGCGAAGTACCGGCACCAATCTCCAAAACTCGTTTGCCAACCAAATTTTCTCTGTGCTCCCAGAGATACCAGGCGAGCACAGGTGCGCAGGGCCAGGTATAAAAGCTGTAATTAGCCTGCAGCAACTGCAATCAGTAATCAATTAGTAACCGATTGGTAACTATAAAACGTAAGGATATTCACTGAAATTTCAGTCTATAGATTTTACTCTTGAGATTGAAATCGACACAAGCCTAGATTATATAACAATCCTTACTGAAAACTCTTACAGTGGAGAAAAAAGCGCAATCTGAGAAAATGCTAAATTACAAATGATATATAGATATATAATGAATTGCTTTCCCATGCATCAAACAGTTTAACAATCGCAAGTGTACGGATCGCGTGTACGGAAACAATATAGAGGCGTTTGTTGTTTCTAATATGGATGCTGCATTACTCGCGGTGATGAAAAACTCTACAGACGTAATCACGCTTAAAAAGAGAAATAAATCAGGGAGACAGAGTATAAAAAGAAAGTTTGAGGAAATTACAATTAAAAAAATTATCAAAGTTGTTTCTCGCTAAAAGAGCGACCTAACCAAGAGGCATATAACACCGGAAATAAGCCGGGTGCGAAGTCGCGCGCGATCTCTTCGCCATACATCGTTCCCTCACCTCGGGAATGAGAATCTCCAGCCTCTCCTCGCGCTCGTCCGCTTTCGCGCAATCTTGCGTCTTCCGTGATCTGAAGACAAATCTTTTCACTTGCTCGGGCACCGCATGATCCCCATCGGACATTAGGGCGCGCGTGAATGGTGGACTCGTGTCGTGCGAAATACTCTCCTCTAGACCGGGCATCACTGACGCGCCCCTCGCACGCGCTAATCGTCCTTCATCGTGGCCGTGATAATTAACGCGTCGCTTGAATCGCTCGTTTCAACGTATCGTATCATATCGAATCGAAGAACGGGAATACGAGTGCCGCTTTGTCGAGAGTAGTCGCCGCGATGGCGGAACCGTTTCGTTTTCCGCGGCTTCGATATGGCCGCACTTCTTCCCCTTCGTCCTTAATTTTATTATTCGTTATTAAAGTATGATTAATGTCAACTTTTCTTAATGTAGATTAACTTGAAATTCGACTTTTCATCTTTTTTTAATTTTTACTAATTTAACTAAAAAAAGACGAAAACTAACCGAAATTTAGATTTAATAGAAATCTGTAAAAATAAAAATGTACATGATAAATTTGAAGATTCTCTTTCTATATATTGCTTCCGTTAGAATATATCCTCTTTTATTAAGCATGATTAAAACAGTCTCTTAATTTTTTTCGTTTTTCAATACGTATGTAATTAGAATCTATCTTCCATCTTTCTATTTGTTATGTCTTTTCTTATCAACGTAGATTAACTTCTCATTTTTTTCCAATTCTTAAAAGTAAATGAAAAAAGTTAAATCGGGATTAAATTTAATCTGTGGTAAAAAATGGACATAAACAAGATTGAAACAAGACTTTTATACATCACCTTCGTTAAAACACATTTTTTGTTAATCATGATTAAAATTCCATTTAATTCTCTCTCTTTCAGTACGTATATAATTATATTTTATTTTCCATCTCTTAATACATGAACATTATTATAATTTGCGTCTCGCGATACATATTATATATAATTTATTTTTCACCTTTCAGTATATAATCATCTTCCAGTTTCCACGTTTTGGTACATACATTATTTCAATTCCACATCTTTCAGTACATATATCATTATAACTTCTTGTTTGTAATAACTACATTTTTTGTATGTGTGCGTTTAGAAGTATATGAATCTTCCTAAAATCAAACACACCGAATACATCAAACTTATACACCAGGGAACTTTATAACCAAGGCTATAAAGCAAAATTTGGGGAATTTTATTTATAGTTTTCATATAGCATCGCCTTTGCCACCGTGAGGGCTGTTTCCTTGTTCAATAATATCTCAACGATAGTTAGGCCAAAATCAAAAGCCGTTGCTGGTCCTTGGCTTGTTATAATGTTACCTGTAAAAATATTTATCTCAATACAGAACTCGCTGATAACTAATTAATCTAGAGATGATCGACATTGCTCGAGAAGTATCTATATATTAAACGAATATACAGTAAAACGAAATTATTACCATCAATCACCACTTTTTCCTCAACATATTTGTAATCATTACACAAGTCATTCTTCATAGTCGGGTAGGAGGTAATCCGTTTCCCTTTGCCGATATTATGAGCCTTCAAAGCTATGGGTGCTGCGCAGATAGCCGCTATTAACTTGTTCTCCCTATCCTGCTCTTCTAACAACCTTCCAACTTCCACCGACTAGCAAGATGAATTTTATATAGTTATCCATACGTACCATACAGCAAAATCAGATATTGCCAAATGATCTTACAGATGCGAGCGCCTTAGATCCACTAAGGCCACCAGGCAATATAACAATATCGTAAGACTTATCGCAAGTGGCATCAGTAAACCTGGCATCTGTGCAGATCTTAATGTCTCGGCTGCACTTGACACAATTGGCATCCCATACACCAGCTACAGTGACGGCGATCTATCCAGCAATCAAATTTTAATAGTCATTCTAGCATATTGATTTATTTAATTAGCAAACAGCAATTTTCTAACAGCAGTTTTTTTTATAAATTAATATAATTTACAATATCCGTCTCGTACAATCGAAAAGTGTATGTTTACTCTTGTTATTTGTAACAATTTGAAATAGTCAACAGTCCGCCAAATGCCAAATAACAGAGTACAGAAACGTGTAATATTTTTGTACAAATTAAAGAATTTTATATGGATATATATTGCATAACGTATATCGCGGTTTAACTCCTATGAGTGTCGGAGAGATATCACGAGAGTGGGGTATTATTGATCGTTCTGGAATCATTGAGAAATAGGATCCCGAAGCATCTTATCCGCACCTTTACCCTAGGCGCTAAAAACGCGCGAATAGGGAGTGTCCTCGTAGAACGTTACGATGAAAAAAAGAAAGTAAGGACAATACACATTGTAAAATTTATTTCCTGTTGAGTGCCGAGGGTGCCATGAGACTGGGGATTATCGATCGCACTAGATGACGTACCCCGGCACGCCGTAGGACATCGACGGTAATCACAGCTTCCATTTCCTCCGATCCATCAGCGATCACCAGAATTGCAGTTTTCTTTGCCATGCTTTGTAGCCGAGACTTCTACCTAATTTCGGTAGACCTAGATTCGGAAGGACCAAGAAAAATCGTCCGCGAAACAGCGTCGCAACGTTCGGCACACGTCTAGCAACGTCACAGGCACGTACACAGCGTGCTGTCAGTGTGTTGGTTGGGGGAGGTTGGGTTCATTCCGCCATGCGCGATGAACGCGACCAACCTGATATTCAACCGATAGGAAAGATCTAGAATCGGCGACAGTCTAGAATTTCTTCTTTTCTCCGGGATTCTCAAAGAATTTCTGACTCGAATCATTTTTCAGCAACGCGACGTTTACTATACGAATGTAAATATTAATTGTAACAAGTTTTTTAATGTATCTAAGATCTCTTTTATCCAGTTGTCTATCTCGTCCGTCATATCTATCGTGTCAAGACTTTCGCGCCAATAACAGCCATCATATGTCGCTATATCGCCGATGTCACTATCATCACACATGCGCGAAGAATCCGGCTGGCACGTCAATACTTGTTATTGTGGGTGCGTTCCGATATTCACTGAAGCCAGTACTGAAAATCTATAATATATGAATCATCGTGACATGAATCACCGACGAGGTATTGTTAAAGGCCATATCAGACTAGCGGTTGCCCGGCTGCGGTTGCCGATTAACGATTCTATTATTATCAATCGCATTGACCATAACCAAGACCTGCTACATTGTGATTGGCTGAAATAGAATCGTCAACTGGCAACCATAGCCGCGCAACCGCCAGTCTGATATGGCCTTAAAGACGGTAGTTTTATAGGAGTAACGTGACCGCTAAACGAGTTTGGGGATAATTGAAGAATTAATGATATTACCAATCATTTTGACTGAGGATAACGTTTATTTATTACTGTTATTACGACGGATTTAATTTTAAATTAATAATTCTTTTTACGAATAAAAAGTTCGTAATAACGATTATAATAACAGCAATAAATAATCATTAGTCTCCCTTTATTATCTTCAGTACAGTCAAAATATCATTATTCGGTAATATCATTATTCTTCAATTATCTCTGTACTCGCTTAGCAGTCACAAAAATTTTTCCAGGACCAACTTTAACAATACCTCGTCGGTTCATGAACTATATATTTTCAGTACTGGCAGTGAATATCGGAACGCAACCGTAGTAGATACATTCCTGGCTTGGGATTCTCGAGTCTATATATCACATCTATCGCATACGAAAATCTATAATATACGTTACGTATATTGTATGATTTTCGCATACGATATATATTTTTTGAGAAAAAGGTGACTTTCATCAACAACTTCCGGTTTAATTAATCAACCGCTTATTCCATTGGAATTGATCAATCGCAATTTGTTCACAAATTTAACAACAAATACGATTAGTCATTTCTAATGGAATAATCGGCCGATTAACCGGAGATGAAAGTCGCCCTTAAGGTCATTGCACATGAAAAATTATAGTCATAATTGTAAAGTCGTAAGCAAGTTGACCAATCAGAGTTCGCCTATTTTCTTCACGGTCTAAAAATAATTGATCGTGATTGGTCAATTTGTTACGTCATACGATTACGACTAAAAATATTTTTAGTCGTATTTATAATATTTTAAAAATATCTTACATGCAATGGCCTCTATTCGAGTTATATTCCAAAACCATCTTTTCGAGAAAAATTTTACTCGGTTTTTAGTGAGATGGACAACGGACTAATCAAAAAGTTTGTAAAATTTGAAAACAATCGACGAGTAAAATTTTCCTCGAAAATGAACATTTTGAGATGTAGCCTTGAAAAGTTAATTAAAATCAAAACCGACTCAAACTGGTACTCTCAACAAGACACAATCGATATGTACGTGAACAAGATTATACGAAATATAGATGATATTAAAACGATATTACAACACTCGGAGCGAAGCGTTTCCAAGATGAATCGGAAATGATCGGAAAGAATTCGCAGGAAGTGGCTGCTTCGCCAGTACAGTCGAGGCGCGTCGCTACCGTGCGCTTACTATGGCCGCCGCGTTTGGGTGTTGTGTGTGAATAGTGCATTCGTACGGTAGAAATTGCGGAATCACGCGGCAGTCGTTGTCATTTCCATCGTCATCGTCATCGCCATCGTCATCGTCGCCGCCGCCGAGTAATCCTCAAAGAGTCACACGGTCCTCGCACACGGCGTGCACGTGCATACTCGCGCGCGGACCATTCCGCGATCACACGGGAGCGAACCGCGATCGTCCTCAGGGAAACGATGACGCGTGCACGACGTTGAGCGAGGATTACCTGCCGCCGGAGCGCGGGCTCGACAACGAGGTGAGTCGCGCGGCTCCTCGCGCATCGATCCCCTCCAATCTCGTGACACGTGAGGTTTCGCGTCGATCCGATCCGATCTCGATCGCTCGTGACAACATCCGTGCGCGAGCACACGCGCCTCGCGCAACGCGTCGCGAGTAAAACGGAAGGGTATCCTCTTCGTCACGGACGTTTCGTATCCGCGATCGAGAATCTCGGCGTTGATCGTCGCGATCGTCCTCCTCGTTAGATCGGACGAGATGTTCGAGCTTGCGCGCTTATTAATTAGCCTGTTTGCCGCTTTCACCGTGACTCAATACCACTTTGAAAAAGAGAGAGAAAGAGAGAACGTACGATGCTTGTCGTGAGTGAGTGAGAGAGAGAGAGAGTGAGAGAGAGAGGGGAAGAAAGAGAGAAATATGAATTGTAAGCATAAATATGCATTATACATTAACGGAATAATTAGTCTAGATATTTTTAGTCTTTAATTTTTTGCGAATTTATTGGAGATATACAAATGGTTTCGGTTTTTGTGTATTCACTTCTGTTTGTTTCAATTTGTAGAGAATTGAGTTCTTCAACGAGATATCTCTTGTGTTTGCTTTGCATCAGGATATTTGTTTTATTTGAAACTTGACTAATATTTATGTATATTTAAGATTTAACTAATCTCGACGATATTTCAGTCAGAATTCAACGTGCGCAACAAATTCGTAGATACGGAACGTGTGATTAGTGATACTTTCAAATGAAATATCTACATTCGATACCAGCAGAGATCGGTAATACACGAGTAATAAAATCAGGTTTTTTAACGCTAAGCCTGTTAAAAGATTATCAGAGTTTAGTGTTAACGTAATACTATCTTTGTAAATAAGGCATAATACATACATATAGTTTCCTTATCTTTTACAAAAAAAAAAAAAAGAAAAAAAATACTGAGGCAAGCATGTTAGTAATGTATGTCTCTGCCGAATCGTCTTTCAATCATATTGATGGCATAACTATACGGTTCAGGGGGTGGATGATAGGAATTTACTGAAAATCCAAGATCAAAACCATTCAAAACGCTGGAGAAAGACGGAGGAGCTTCGGAGGAGGGGGAGATGTCCGCTGGCACCCAGGGCGAGATTCGGGTTGGCCCTTCTCATCAGGTTTGCCATATATATCTTGAAAAATTTCCTTGCTAATTAACTGTTTTGCACAATGTACAATTATCTCGAGGCTTGCGCTATTAGCAATTAGACATTTGTTGCGAGATAAGGGGCGTGTGGGTGAAATCTCGAATTATTCTTTTAGCATCAACTGATCGTACAGTGTGACTTTGGAACCGCTGTCAATTGGTTTACAGATAAAGAGTTTTTGTCTAGTCTTAAATAACATTAAATTTCTGCTCAGTATTGACGAAGCTTCTTTTTACAGAAAACACTTGTAGTAGTCAATGGAAAAGCATTATCAATCTACATATTTCATGCCTGATTATAAGCGATCGAATCTGTGGAATTGAAAACTCGTTATCTTGAGGATATCAATATTGGGAATTGAAAGGAGAAACGATATTTACACTTATGTTGATAAAGATAAATTTTATTTCTTATCGCACATCAAGTATAATGTATAATTCTCTATTTGAGTATTGTCTTTAGTGTAAAGTATTGTCTTCCGAAAGCGAAGAATCGCAAAAGAAAGACTGGAGATCTTCACACGCTCTTTATGTCAATAAATCAAATAAATGTAAACGAATGTAAAAGAGGAGCTGCACGTTCGCGCGTATATGTGCGTGTATATATGTATGTGTATACGTGTTTAAACGGTTACGCACGCGTGTACGGGAAAGAAATGTGAATCGAAAAGTATGCTTCGCGAACGATGACGGAATATCACGTAAATATAATACGCGCGTAATCTAATCTGAAATGTGTGTATGAAGTACACGTACGCGGATCAGTCTCTTAAAGTTTCACAACAATAAAGGCCGATAAGGGGTACAGGATCGGCGTGTACGCGAGTCTCTTCGTGCGGAGACTTACGAGACTTACTTTCTTTTCGTCGCATGTTAATGCCGAAAACTTGCCGCGAGTTCGGTAAACGCGGTCGCGTGTTTGACGTACATCCGAGGATGTGCCTCGCTTTAGGTAATCACTTTAGGCATTTTAACATTAGTCAGCGGGATGGAGTCGAGAGGGCGGACGAGGGGGGCGATGGGAGATCGAAGGACACGCTCAAGTGGCGGTTTTATGTGGCGCGCGAGGGATAATGTATATATGTAAAAATGTTTGAAAATTATTACGAAGATGTAAGATTGAACTTTCATTCCAGTTTCCATCCGATGGTTCAATTAACGCATTAAAGAGCTTCGAATGTTTCAGGTGTAAGACCGCGATCTCGTCTGCAATACGTCTGAAATGTATTCGTTAAGCTCTCCTGCGATACTTGTTGTATCATGCACGGACGATCGCTCCACCGTATAATCGACGTATAGCCGAGTAAGCCGGGTGGAAAATCTTTCTTTGCAAGCGGCAAAGCGTTGTGCGTGAAATGCAATATATTTGGCAGCCGGCACATAAAGGTGGTTTTAACTGCAGTTTTATTTGGCATGAAATGGTGCTTTCCTAATTTGGAGTGGTGTTCAGTCACGGTGAAGTAATTAATTGATACGGCCGATAAGCGGACCGATTCGCCTTTCGCACTGTTTACCTGTTGGCATACAACAATTATTCGCGATTGCTTATTGAACCATCTGTGAGCACGAGCGCTTTTACGGGCGTAGGCCCGAAACTCAACCAATCACTTTCATTTCGTGCGCTACCCTTAAACGACGGTAACACTTCGTCTAGTAAGATGAAAAAAAAAAAAAAAAAAAAAAAAAAAATACTTGAATCATTCGTCGAGAAACATTCGTCAGATAGATGTGCGAAGAGGTGAAGTTTTTTCATTCGTTGTCCCGCGTTCGCATCTGTGACTAATCTATAGCTTGCACATTTGCTCTTGCTTCCTTTTGCGCATACGTTTTGCAAAATGTAACATTTATTTCGTCAGAACACATCGCGAATAAATTTAGTAAAATGATAAATGTATTACGCAACTTTCATACTTGTTGTAGATATAACGTTTATTTTTAACGCATACTCATAGACGGCCAATTATCGCGTTAACGAAACGCGCACTTGCCTGCGAGTGCGTGTCTCGCGTATGTATCTTTATAAACAAAGAAAAGAGGGATTACGAAGTTTAGATGCGTTTCCCTCGCTTGTGCTAAAGGAAGTTGACAAAGAGAAAATATGTATACATGCGTCATCACCGGTGTCTTCTTGCGAGGAGAATTGAAGGAAAAGAAAAATATATTAAAAAATTGATTAGAGTGATTAGAATTCGATAGTACGGAATTAGCCCGTAATAAGAAAACAAGCCGGTGTGTCATACCTAATTAACTCGCTTTGGCATCATCGGTGCTAACCGCGCGCAATCCCGAATTTTGGGATTTACAGGAGTTGGTTTCTTGTCAGGCCCGTTTGCCTGAGTATCGGCCGGGTATACCTCCCGGAGAGCTGCCACCCGATCCAGAATTCTCCAAGGCGCGCGAGGAGCTAAAATGGGTACCAGCCATGGCATTGGACGGGGATCTGCTCATGTACTTGAGGGCGGCCCGTTCAATGGCCGCGTTCGCCGGTATGTGTGACGGTGGTTCTCCAGATGATGGTTGCGTGGCCGCCTCCCGAGACGACACTACCATCAACGCGTTGGACATCCTGCATACCTCTGGCTATGATCCCGGCAGGGCGCTTCAGGCACTCGTCAAATGTCCTATACCGAAATGCTTCGACAAGAAATGGTCCGAGGACGAAACTGTACGTACCACCTCGTTCCTTCCATTGATGTCTACTATTGATGTCTTTATGAGTCTACTGACCGCAAAAGAAAACTTTCTAACGGATGGATTTCTTTTCGTTGTTCCCCGCAGAAGCGATTCGTTAAGGGCCTACGACAATTTGGAAAGAATTTCGCGCGTATTAGGAAGGATCTTTTGCCTCACAAGGAAACGGTAAAGTTCTTTATTCTTTTGGTTTTCTTTTCTTACCCGTTGTGTGCTACTATAAGCTTCATTGCTTCTCACTACATTGCTTTTCTTTTCTTTTTTCTCCTTTTATCTTTGCTTTTGCGTTTAAATTAATGCGATTGGATGCAAGTATGCATTGGTACAAATAAAAATAAAGAATAAATAAAGTAGAATTGGAAGTTGTAAAAAATAACTATTTTCTAACTTGTACTATTTTCTTAAATACAGTTTTGAATAAAATTAAAATTGAGCGACAAGCTTTTTAATATGGGAAGGCCAATAAGATTGTTTTAATTAAGAATTAGTTAGAAATGTGTGAAAATGCGTGTTTTCTTTTTATTTATTTATTTATACAGATATTTATATTTGTACGACCATATGAGAAATCTTTTGAAATTAATAGCCATGTTCTTCAAAGAGAAAGTTTTACAAAGTACAAAGCGTCTCTTTTTACATCATCTGTTTCTGATTTCTACACAGCCGGAGCTTGTCGAGTTTTATTATTTATGGAAAAAGACACCGGGTGCAAATAACAATCGACCACACCGGCGCCGCAGGCAGAGCTCGCTACGACGAATCCGCAATACGCGTAACTCACGTGCTGGCACACCGAAAGAAGAGGTACCTACACCTACGAAGGACGCGCAGCCGACGGCCAACATTAATGCGAAAGAGGCCGTATCCGAGGCTGAAACCGTGCCGGTTGGTACTCCGGCCAGCCACAATCCCGGCGGCGAGATCAGCTCCGTGACCGAGGACGACAATTCGGAGGAGGATAGCGATTCGCGTGACACCAATACGAATGGCACGGCGCACTCGTGCCAGCACTGTTTCTCTACCAACTCGAAAGACTATCAAGTAGCCGGTAAAGATCGATTATTACTCTGCGCGGAATGTCGATCGCATTTGAAGAAGACTGGAGAACTGCCGCCTGCGCCGCCCTATCTGTTCCGGCCGGTGCCCGCGGAATCGCCTGAAAGTCCCGGTAGAATGCGCACGAGGAATAAGGCGAAGGAGACACCGAGACCAGCGAGACCGCGACGAACCGGTGGCACAGATACGCCTGATCAGGAGAAGCAACAGCAACAGCAGCAACAAACGCCCGACAAGAGTAAGAAAAAGTCGTCTGGTAAAGTAGACACGCCCAAGAAGGGTCAGAAACGTTCGAGTCAGACCGACGACGCTTGCAACGACGAAGATAAGGACGCGCAGAAGCGGAAACGCGGTGGCGGCGAACGACCTGATAGTCCGTCCGAATCTCTCACTACTGACAGTAACTCCCTGATGGATGAGCCAGAGAGGGAAACGGAAGGCGACGCAAACGAGAATCAACCGACACCGCCGACGGTCGCCAGCGTCACTGGCGCGGAAGAGCCCGTGAGTAGTCCGGCCGTCACGACGCCCGAGGAACCGTCCGAGCCGACGCCGGCGTCCACCCCAGTACCGGCTGTGATACAAAGCCTACCGATATCGGTTCCAGTGATACACAGTTTGGAGAAGAAGCCATCTGGCTTACTAGATCAAGAATCAGTGGATCAGAGCAAGGTGATGGATCACCAGGCGGAGGACGTACCGTTAGCCATGAATCAACCATTAAAGTTGGAACCGATACCGATCGAGCCAGTGATGTCGCCGACGATGTCCAACGAAGACGTGGGCAAGGAGTCCGAACCAACACAGTTGAATCTGAGCACGTCCACGCAACAAGTAGGGACGGGTTCCAACGACGCTGGTCCCGCGGTTACAGTTCGCAATTTGTCACAAGGTATGCCGCAAGGTATTATTACGAGTGTTGGCTCACAGGTGGCTATGTCGAACTCACAAATTCCGGTGATATCACCCAGTCAACAACAAAATGGTGCTGGCGTCGGTGGACTGCCGACGAGTCTAAGTATGCAGTACGTGCAACCACCGCCGCCTTTACCGGTGCAGAACGTGCCGCAAAATTTATCGCAGAGCATGCCGCCGCAGATGGCACCGAATAGCATACCGCCAAGCGCGCAGAATATGGGACCAACGAATCTCCGTAGCCATGTGTCCGAGAGTTTGCAGAGTGCGCAAACCTTATCGCAGAGCATGTCGGGACCACCGCCGTTGAACCTCAATATTTCGCAGAGCGTATCGACCGGTATCGGCGGCCCAATGGGCCAGATGCCATCAATGCCGAGTCCGCCCTCGCAGCCGCTCGGCTTGACCGTGATGTCTTCCGAGAGCAGAAATGCCGAGAGAATGGCGGATGACAGATTGTCAACGAGTGAGCGGACTCGGGACAATTCAAGAATACCCGACTCTCGCATGGTGCCGGAACGCGTTCCGGAGCGAACGAGCGAAAATGAACCGGACCGATCGGAGCCGAGTAATCTGTTCCAACCGATACAGTCTGGCGGAATGCTGCCGATGGAGAAATCTGTTGGTATTTATAACCTGGCCAGTACACCGCCAATGGAGCCACAAAACTTGAAGATCAAGCAGGAGATTATACCGCCGGAACCGGATCCTCTGCAGAGCTTAAAAGAAGTCAAAGTACCGGGCTTTCAGAGCTCCTCTTTCCCCGGTCCGAGCCTGGACAATATCAAGAAAGATCCGGACAGTGCGAAACCGCCGACGCCCAGCAAGCACTCCGTACCGCCTGTTAGCCAGACGGTACCGTCGATACAGCCAGTCGCGGCATCGCCGACCCCCACGCCAACTCCGACGCCGAGTCTGCCACCGCCACCGAGTTCGATCCCGCAACCGGTGATGCATCCGGCGCAACAACCGAGCCCGCACATGGCCCATCCCTTCCATCCGCATCATCCACTGATGCACCACTCGTTATTCACCGCCATGCACCCGTATCATCCTCACGCCTATCCAGGATATGCGCCAGTGGGAGGATATCCATCCTTCCCGTATCCTTATGGTCCAGTGCCTCACGCCATTCCACCGCCTTCCCCGCAACGTAGCCAAGAAAATAGCAACACCATGATGACGGCGCATCACGCCAGCACGAGCTCGAGCGTTACCAGCAGAGAGGAAGGCGAGAATCTAATCGCGAGTCATCATCACTCGTCCAATATGCATCAGCCGGCTAATTTACACCACGACAAACTGCTTACCATTTCTTCGCACAGCTCCCACAGTCATTCCTCGTCGCACAGTTCGCACAGCAGCCAACGTAAACCGTCGATCGTTTCGGCCACCTGTCTAACGTCGTCTGCTAGCTCGGTGCATCATCATCATCATCGTCCGCCGCAACCGCAACAATCGCAGGTTGTGCCGGAACCAAAGATCGAGCAGGACATGGAGCCGGAACCGGAAGAGCCTGTTAGTCCCCGCGGACCGTCGCCGGAGCCACGAATCGAAGATTCCGAGTGTCACCGTTCGCAGTCGGCGATCTTCTTGAGGCATTGGAATCGCGGTGAGAACAATTCGTGTGCACGTACGGACTTGGTGTTCAAGCCAGTGCCCGACTCGAAATTGGCGCGAAAACGCGAGGAACGCTCGCGGAAGCAAGCGGAGCGCGAACGAGAAGAACGCGATCGCGCCGCCGCCGCGGCGCAGCAGGCCCGAAAGATGACAACGCCTGAAAAAGCAACCTGAGGCGTGTAAACCACCCAGTCGTGGGCCCCTCGAGCCCGTGGTGTCGCCGTACGATCGCTACGCCGCACGTCCTGGTTCCTATGCCGATACCCCGGCGCTCAGGCAGCTATCCGAATACGCGAGGCCGCATGCCGCTTTTTCGCCCGCGAGACATCCGGCTCCACCTGATCCGATGCTGCACTACATCTATGGACGCGAGGCTGCGGCGGCGCAACGGCTGGAATTGGAGCATCTGGAACGCGAGAAAAGGGAACGCGAGATACGTGAATTACGTGAGAGAGAGTTAAACGACCGGCTGAAGGAAGAACTATTCAAGGGTACACCCAGACCAATGCCACCGGCGCCACCGGTTGATCCGCACTGGTTGGAGATTCACCGTCGATACGCCGCCGCCGGTCTCGCACCGGGACCTTCTGGACCACCTCAAGCCTTACACCAATTCGGCCTCTATGGGGCACCTCCGGGTCCGAGTCAACTCGAGAGGGAACGACTCGAGCGATTAGGTAATTATCGATGACGCTAACACTTTATTAACAATATCTCGGCGGTAGAGATAGAGACCTCGTTGACTATCATTCGTTCGATCGTACGACTTATACTTTTCAAAATTATCGAATTGATTTAAGAACTGACGGCCGAAAGGCTGATGTAAAAGGAAAAATCGGGTAGGTTGGGAAGAAAGAATTGATGAGATCAAGAGAGTGCCAAGATCTTTGAGAGATGCGACGTAGTTAGTCAATAATTGTTTACAATAACGGCCGATTTCTTCAGCGCCAGCTAACTCTGTCTATACGAGTATAGTTAACCTTGGCTCTCTGTATCACAACCAAAAACGGTACACATTGCAAAAGGAGCGGCTCCTCCCATTCTCAGAGATTTTATCCGACGGTTAGCTGAAGATGAAGAAATCGGGCGTGAGAATCGTATCTATGATCTCTTCGAGTTATGTGATCGAAGCGCTGTCGCGTTTAGGGATTCCGACTGCAGCCGGCGGGGGGCCAGCGGGTGGAGCGGCTGGCCATCCCGTGGCGGCTCATCACCACGGCCAGCTGGAAGAACGGCTGGCTCTGGCCGCTGACCCGATGGTCCGATTGCAAATGGCTGGCATCTCGCCCGAATATCATGCTCACACTCACGCGCATACGCATGCGCATACGCACTTGCACTTACATCCGGGACAGCAACAGGCCCAGCAACAGGCTCAGCAACAGCAGGAAGCCGCTGCGGCTGCGGCTGGATTTCCTCTGCCGGGTAGGTCCTACACACAACCAGGATGTTTCTTCTAAAGCTTCCTGAAGAGCTTTTCCTTTAAGAAAACTCCGCCGCTCTTGCTTATTCCTCGTCGCTCGGCAGCCGTGTGTTTCTCATTGATCGTCCTACGTCACCTATATTTACCTAGGTCAAGACGATCCTTTTTTCCCGCACCGTTATCGTCAGCACGCCTGCGATTTTCTAGTCTAGTTGCTCGATTCTGATCTCTGGCTAGTCGCTTATCACCGTCGCAGGTGCAAGTGCGAGTGAGTGTTGTCGAGGAATAGGCGCGAGTGTGCGTGTGCGTGTGCCTGGAAATGAAAAGTAACACTTCTGATTAAAGCTTAAGGGTTTGTCATTAATTCCGAGTGCGCGCGCGGCCGCGCCCGCGATTTCCTCTATCTTTACGAGTCACGAGAATATGCTATTTTGCTAAGCGCGTCTGCGCGAATACCTTTTTAAAAATGGATATTATGTGTGCCAGGCAATGATTAAATAATAATAAGACTTATCCAATGTTTTTTTCTTTTTTTCTCTTTTTTTTTTTTTTTTTTGGATTAATTCCTTTCTTTTTTAACATGTAATTATCTTTATCCACAGCTGCAGCGGGCGCCAATTATCCTCGTCCTGGTTTAATGACGCGTGATCCTGCCCTGGGGCTTCATCCAGCGGAACTCCTAGGAAGACCTTATGCGGACATGGCGGCGCATCATGAACAACTGCAACGGCATCTCATGATGGAACGTGATCGATTCCCCCGCACGCATCCATCGTGGCTCATCACGAGGAGTACCTAAGGTTCGTTTCCTGAAATCACTATCAAAACTTGCCTGATTTGTTGTATAACGCTATGATTTAAGACAGCAGATATACCCGGACTAACAAAGGGTATTTTTTAGACAACAGCGTGAGCGCGAGCTTAAAGTTCGTGCACTGGAAGAAGCCGCACGTGGATCGCGTCAATAAGCATATTTTTATATATACACACTATATATATATATATATATATATATATATATATATTACTAATA